ACAGTTACAGATTGAACTCCTTGTTCTACTCTTTTTTTTTTTAAGATTTTATTTATTTGACAGAGACAGCGAGAGAGGGAACACAAGCAGGGGGAGTGGGAGAGGGAGAAGCAGGCTTCCCGTGGAGCAGGGAGCCCAATGCGGGGCTCGATCCTTGGACCCTGAGATCACGACCCCAGCCGAAGGCAGACAGCCTACGACTGAGCCACCCAGGTGCCCCTCCTTATTCTACTCTTTCCCCATTCTCACTACTGCACTTGTCTTAGAAACAAAACAAGAGAAAACGTTGGTGAACAAGGAAGAGTAAAACAGAGAAGAACAAGAGAGAAGAGAAAGAACAAGTGGGAAATTCATATTCTTCCCTCAAAGCTCCTGAATAGTTCTCATAGTCTAAACCAATACTGTCTGGTAGAAATATATTGTGAGTTGCATTATGTGACTTAAAATTTCTAGTGGCCACATTTTCAAAAAGTAAGAAATATGAAATTAATTTCAGTAATTTATTTAACCCAACATATTAAAAATATTTCAACATGTAAACAGTATTTTAAATCTTTTTAATATTTTGAAATTACTTAGATATTTTACTTTTTTCATATTAATTCTTCAAAATCTAGGGTTTATATTTATAGAGCATCTCAATTTGAACTAGGCACATTTCAAGAGCTCAATAACTACATGTGACTAATGATTAGTACTGGAAAGGAAAGCTCTAGACTGTGGACTAGAGAATACCCTGCCTGGGTAACTTTAGGGGGATGGTATTATGGGCATTGTGTTTTATGCAGAAGAAATTCTTGAAGTGGCTGACTCAAATGATTGCAGAAGCTAGGCAAGTAACAATAAAAGATGACCTACTGTAAAACAATAGGTAGTAGTGGGGACTAGGACTCATTGGAGAGTACAAGCACCTATCTAAAGGGTAGCTCCCCTGAGCTCCTGAGTTTTAAAATGCAATGATGACTAAAATAAAATAAAACACAGTGATGAGAAACAGAAAATGTCTATGAGCAGTATAGATAGCTAGATCTGCTGCTAACATGTGGCCTCTGTGAACTGTGGTATTCAAATGCATGAAACATTTTTGAAGATTTTTTTTTAAGAGAATAGTGTCCAGGCAAAGACATAGCAAAGCTTGAGGATTCCGCTGGCTGGATCCTGTGCAAGTGTGCACTTTAATACATTAAACTACCACTGAGGAGGGGAATGAGGTAATTGGGTGACGGGCATTAAGGAGGACACTTGAAGTAATGAGCACTGCATGTTGTATGCAACTGATGAATCATTAAATTCTACCTCTGAAACTAATAGTATAGTATAAATTAAATTGAATTTAAATAAATTTTTAAAAGGAAAGAAAAAGAAAACAACCATTGCAACCTCTGATAATAACTTGACTTACAAGTAGACTTCTCCAGGTGCCTGGGTGGCTCAGTCAGTTAAGCGTCTGCCATCTGCTCAGGTCGTGATCCCAGGGTCCTGGGATAGATTCCCATGTCGGGCCCCCTGCTCAGCGGGGAGCCTGCTTCTCCCTCTCCCTCTGCCTGCTGCTCCCCCTGCTTGTACTCTATCTCTCTGTCAAATAAATAAATAATCTTTAAAAAAAAAAAAAAGTAGACTTCTCTACTGAGAAGGTAATTTCACAACCAACCTGAGTTCCCTGTAAATTAATAAGCTTGTGTCATGATTTTTTCTTATATTTAAGATTTCAGACATTCTGAGCTTGGAAAAATTAAGTTTCTAGGTTCCCAGAGCTGTTGACTAGCAGACCTTGGATTTTTTTTTACCCCAACTTTTAAGGATAGGCATTTATAGTTATTTTATGGTTGACTGTGAAATCTCTGTCACATGAAACTTGTTATGTGTCTTTGTACAGCTGATGCCTGACATAATACCTGGTATACAGTAGGCACTTAATAAACATTTGTTAAAGGAATATAGTCCTGGGGGTGGGAGCAAAAAAATAAAAAAGGAATATAATCCTTAACTTTGGGGAAGGGATCGCAGATTTTTAAACATGAGAATCTGATGAAAACTATGAACCCCTATCCAGATCCTGTTGGTGCCCTACCCATATTCCCTCAGCCCACTGCAGAGCTTACTACAGCTTTGGTAGACAGTACAAGTCCATAGCTTCCTACCTCAGACACCTGAGTATTTCTTTGCCTGGAAGAGCCAGCAGAGTTAACATTCCCAGTAGCAATCTGCAACCAGTGAAAGAGAATTTGGTGGCTAAATACTACAGTTCCTCACCCTCTCAGTGGGGCAATTTTGAGGTCTGTTCTAAAGGAGTGTTTCTCAAAATTTACTGACACATATGAATTGACTGGAGAGATCAAAGACAGATTCTTGAGTTTGCATTTTAACCAGTCTCTCAGGAAATAATAATGCTGTCGGTCCATGGACCACACGTTAAATAGCATTTTTCTCAGATAGTACCAAATGGGATTCAACTCCAGTTGCCCAAAGCACCTTTACTGGCTTTCTTCTCACTCCCTTAAACTGTTTGGATTTCTGGGATCACCATCCAACCTTCTGGGATTACTTACATCCAAATCTGTCTCAGGGTCTATTTGGGGGAAATCCAACCTATGGCAACACTCTCCTTAGAAAAATACACACAGGGGCGCCTGGGTGGCTCAGTCGTTAAGCATCTGCCTTCGGCTCAGGTCATGATCCCAGGGTCCTGGGATCGAGCCCCGCATCGGGCTCCCTGCTTGGCGGAGAGCCTGCTTCTCCCTCCCCCTCTGCCTGCCACTCTGCCTGCTTGTGCTGTCTCTCTATCTGTCGAATAAATAAATAAAATCTTAAAAAAAAAAAAAACCTTTTTCAGTCGTTAAGAAAAATACACACAGAAAAATCTTTAGAAAAAGGGGGGAGAATATTATTCAGCCATCAAAAAGAATGAAATCTTGCCATTTGCAACAACATGGATAGAACTAGAGGGTATTAGGCTAAGTAAAATAAATCAGTCAGAGAAAGACAAATATCATATGATTTGACTCATGTGGAATTTAAGAAACAAAACATGAGCATAGGGGAAGGGAAAGAAAGACAAAATAACATAAAAACAAAAGAGGGAGGCAAACCGTAAGAGACTCTTACTATAGGGAACAAACAGGGTTGTGGAACAGAGGTGAGTGGGGGAATAGGGCAACTGGGTGATGAGCATTAAGGAGGGCACTTGATGTAATGAGCACTGGGTGTTATATGCAACAGATGAATCACTAAATTCTACCCCTGAAACTAATAATACACTGTATGTTAACTAAATTGAATTTAAAAAATAATAATAAATTAATTTTTAATTTAAAATTTGCATGTGCAGGGTGCCTGGGTGGCTCAGTCAGTTAAGCATCTGACTCTTGGTTTCGGCTCAGGTCATGATGTCAGGGTCAGGGCTCCGTGCTCAGTGGAGAATCTGCTTAAGAGTCTCTCTCTCCCTCTCCCTCTGCCCTTCCCCTCACTCACACTCTCTCTCTCTCAAATAAATAAATAAATCTTTTAAAAAATAAAATTTGTGTGTACTACATTAAAATATATATAGTATAAGCATTGTAACAGTGCAAATACTTCATACATTTTTATAAATAATAAACAGCAGGGACAGTAACTTAAAAAAAGGTGGGGGGACACCTGGCTGGCTCAGTCAGTGGAGTGTATGCTCTTGATCTCAGGGTTATGAGTGCGAGCCCCACTTTGGGTATAGAGATTACTTAAATATAAAATCTTAAAAAAAAAAAAGAACAAGAAAAAAATACACACAGAGTTTTGTGTACAAGTTTAGAGGAAGTATGAATCTTCTGAAATTTGTTTAGGTTGTAAAGGAAAATGATCAGGGTAAATGTCATGTGACCCAAGGTCCATGAAAACTGGATCCATCTATGCAGAGTCTAGCAACTTAAAATCATTAATGGCCCATGGAGTTGGATGAATTCAGCCAGCTCTCCTCAAAGTTATTTTCCCAGATCCTATTAAACCGTCTCTTTATTCTCCCAGGTCTGTATCACTCTCATTTTGTGGAACACAGAGGTAGGTCTGGGACTCTAAAGAAACCACATACTTGAAATAAAAATAAAAAGAGTATTGTTGCTCATCCCTATTGGGCTGTCATGGTTTTTTCCCAATTACAGTGCTTTCTGAATACCACTGAAGTGCCCTCATGACCCTTAGATCTTTTCCTGATGTGTTCACACAGAACCAGGCATACTATAACTACATCTGGTTTCTCCCACTTTCTTCTGGATTCTAACATAGCCCTTTATTGTATGCCATCCTTTCAGGAATCTGTAACCTTTGATCCACATATTCCTCAGCCCATTCTGTTGTCATCTGGAAACTTTATGGCATGCTCTAGTTCTGTGATAACTGGGTAATCCTGATCATCCCAATCTCTAATCAGCTACACAAAGAGAGCTAACACTAGGGTCACCAACTACTTCCTACTTCCTAACCACAATGCACAATAGCTTCTTAGCTTTGCCCACATATGGGCCAGCACATGTGTTTGTGCATGATTGTCTTATGTACTATTGAATAATTATGTCTTTGTATACACATATGAATATGGTCTCACGGGTATGGGTGTGGGTGTATAAGCAACCAGAGTTCAGGCCCGGTCTTGAAGTCTGAATAATGTTTAGTACTTGACTTTAATTAGTCTCTGTGCATTGTTAGCCTTAGTTTTCATCTGCCCTTAAATATCAGAGGAAGAATGAGTTCATTTCCTTGAAGTTTATTGACTGTTACCGGTGGTAGAGCAAATTCCATAAAAGAGCGGGTTCCATACAGAGCAAGTGGAAGGGGAGGTCTGAGTTGGTGAAGAAGGATGCTTGGAGTGGGGACTTGGAGTGAAGACTAGAAAGACAGGTATCTCCCTCTTTTTTCCCTCCATTCCCACAAGGATACTAGATTTACAGTAGGGGTATCCTGCTTAGCATTCCCTTTCCAAATTGGAACCTGATAAGAGAAAACTGATGCAAAGTAGAGGAGGAAACACCTCACAGCTCCTCTGTTTCTCCATCCAAGGGGATGCCAATATCCACGTTGTAGTCTACTGGCTCCCCAGAGCTCATCCAGGGAATAGGGGTTCGATTGAAAGAAGGCCTGTTGGAGAGGCTCTGGTTGTAGAGGACCAGGGGTTCACTCAGTAGGGGCCCCACATCAAACTTGGGCATCTGGAAGGTCATGCGTTTGGAGGCCTTCTCATATCCACCATAAGGCATTGCCGTCCTGAAAGGGAGACACATTATTTAATTAAGAACCAGAAGAAGGGGCACCTGGGTGGCTCAGTCATTAGGCGTCTGCCTTCGGCTCAGGTCTTGATCCCAGGATCCTGGGATCAAGCCCTGCATCAGGCTCCCTGCTCGGCGGGAAGCCTGCTTCTCCCTCTCCCACTCCCCACAAAAAACAACCAGAACAAAAGGAACAGTTTTATCAGTAAGGTGTTACTGTTTTGAGGATGGGGAAGTCTGTGAATTTTAGTTTAAGATTGTTCCTGCGGAGTCAGGCTCCACGCTCAGCGGGGAGTCTGCTTGTTCCTCTCCCTCTCCCTCTGCTCCTCCCCCCACTCATGTGGTCTCTCTTTCTCTCAAATAGATGAGTACAATCTTTATTTTAAAAAAGGGATTGCTTCTGCACTTCTTATTCTTCTTCTCCCACAATTCCCCATTCCTGGTTTGCTTATTTCCCCAGAGCTAATAATGAGAAAAGGAGTCTAGTTGGTACTGGATAGAGAGTTTCATGGAGAGTTGTGACTCAGACACTATAGACCCAAGGGTCTGAGACTACCTTAAATTACAATGTAGAGACACCTTCCCCTCCCTCCCACACACACAACCCCTACCCCATCTCCAGTGGATAGCCCTGGCCTGCTGAGAGGAATTAACATAGCCTGGAAAATTCAGGTTTCTCAGGATCAAATGCAAAACACTTCTCTAGTGCTTCCCTATTCTGTTTTTACACAGATCTCCTACCCACAGTCTAGAGAAGCCAAATTCCAAAAGAATAGATGCTTAAGCCTTACTAGAGTATAAAAAAATAGACTCATACTAGAAGAACAGTAATGGAAGCCTAACCTTGAATGAAGGGAACTTTAAGAGTCCTTTAAACATGAATATATTGTTCCCTTTTTTAAAAATTTCTTATTTGTTTGAGAGAGAGAGTGAGAGAGTGAGAGCACGAGCAGGGAGGGAGGTTCAGAGGGAGAGGGAGAAGCAGACTCCCCACTAGTAGGGAGCCCGAGGTGGGGCTCGATCCCAGGACCCTGGGATCATGACCTGAGCCCAAGGCAGACGCTTAGCTGACTGAGCCACCCAGGCGCCTCTATATTATTCCCATTTTACATCAAGGCAACCAACGCTCAGAAGTAGGGTGATTTTCCCATGACCAACACCCTTAATAAGTGGTGGAGTGAACTAAAATGTTGCCCCCCAGCAAACGTTTCCTTCATCATACTGCACTGTTTTTCTGGGTTAGAGTGAAAAAAGCAAAGGCCTTCGATTAGGGCCCCCCTGTTCCTTCCCTCCATTCTCAGCTTCTTTCTGGAACATGTGAACCAAAGTCTCCATCCCAACTAAGGACACTGTGCTACACGCTGGAATGCAGCTGGTTCCTTCTTCACAACCCCTACCTGTTGAAGGATTTATAGTGGGGGAGTTCAGGTTTGGCCCCATAGGCCAGCAGGTCGATGCCAAGCTCCACTTTTTGTTGAGGGTCAACCCCCATGGCTCGCTCCCATGGGGAAATATAGGTCTTGAACACAGTGATATGTTTTCCTTCTCCACCTGTCTGGTCTCCTGGCAGCCACGGGAGAGAAAATTAAGTCAATAATAACGGTGAGTAGCCAGTGGAAGTTAGTCTTATACCCCTGCACTAGGGAACTTGTTGGGGCCAGAGATCAAAGATATAACATCCTGGTAACTGTGCCAGTTTCGTGGAATAATGATAGCCTAGGTTCAGATCTGTGACTGAAACTGAAAAGCCAGAAAGGCTGAAAGACAAGGTTTCTGGGTGAAATAGACACATCTCGGTATTCTCCTGAGATTCCATCTCCAGAGGGTCCATCTAGGTATCTCAGCAGGCCTCCCTTGCTCCCTAAACCCGGTCTAGGCCTCATTCCTGGGGACATCTCTGCTCTAGGGACCAGACACGTTACCCTTGGGTAGGGATACTTGCCTGTTCCTGTCTCACCAACCCCTGCTGTCCCAGCAGCTTCTCTGTCAGTCTGGCCCCCGGGACCACCTGTACCCCCAGATCCAGATCCAGAGCCCTGATGGTGCTGCTGGTCAGAGCCATACTGTCTGGCAGAGCCATTGCCCCCTGCCTGGCTTCCACTGCTGCCCTTGCTGTACGAGAATCCCTGACCAGCTGTGCCCAGCTGTCCCCCAACTGTGGGAAGGAACTTCTGGAAGTGATCCTGAAAAGAAAGGACAAAGTGAGGGCAAGCTTAGGCAATGGGTATGGGGAATAAAGACACAGGTATGCATAGCAAGGAGGAAATTATCAGAGAGCACGGCTAACCAGAAGACACTGAATCCTCTGAGATCCCCCCCGCCAATAGGTGGACAGTGGATAGCCTGGCTGAGAGGAATTAAACTCTCCTTAAGGGATAGGACCCCCCTCTGGCTCAGTTTGTCCAATTACACCTTAAGATGGGGGCAACTCATTCTCTACACTTTCCTTTCCCATCCTTATCAAGGCAAAGAGGACCAAGATTTCTGCTCAGCTAAAATTTAAAAGGATGGGGTTGGGACAGAGAACCCAGGTTTAATTTGAAGAGCTAGAGAGATCTCTGTTCTCTCCCCTTCTTTAATCTTGTCTAACAGACAGAGGTCTCTTCTTTCTCTTTCTCTTCCTCTCCCTTTCTCCTCTTGGTGCCTGTTGAACCAGGACCTCCTTACCGTGAAACTGTAGCAGGTAGGGGGAAGGGTGACCAAAAGGGCAACCCTGGATTCAGCCCCAAAGCCTAAAAATAACCCCACCAACTCCTTCAGGAAGCTCTCCTCGCCACCCCACCATGCACACCCCTCTGCTCCAACCAGTGTAACCAGACCCAGCCAGGGACAAGGGCTTTTGGCCTCCTAAAGTTAGATATGACCAGCTCAGCATTTTTGCTCTGCTCCTACATAAGGACCAATGACAGACACTCCTGCCTGTGGCCCCATGTAGGCATCTATTTCCACTTTCCCTTGGCTGCCCAGTAAAGGTAGAGGGGGAAGAAAGGTAATGGAGAAGATCCCCTCCTTCTCAGCTATAACATCTTGTGCCTGGCACCCTTCCAATCCCTACTTCTCTTGGAAAAAAGATCCTCACTAGGGGACATGGGATCTTAGAGGATAGTTTCATGGAGTCCTTAGACAGACCCTTTAGATAAAAAATGGCTCAAGAAGGAGATGGTTATAAAAAGCACTTAACTCTTTCTACGTTTGCCAGATTTATCAAATACAATTATAGGACACCAGTTAAGTTTGAATCTCAGATATACAACAAATACTTTTTTACTAAAATTACATCCAAATATTGCATGGGACATATTTATATGTAAGAGACTATTCATCATATATCCAAAATTAAAATTAAACTGGCATCCTGTATTTTTAAAATTGAATTGAATTGAATTGAATTTTTATGGCTCAAATATTTCATGGGACATGCTCTACTAAAAATTATTCATGCATGTCTCAACTTCAAAATACAGGACTTGGTGTCCTGCATCTTCTCTGGCAAACCTATCTTTAACACTTAGCCATACAGGGAAGGAATTTTCTCCCTGAGGATGTGTACTCTTCACCCCTTCCCCTTTGCTGGCTCTAATACCGAATTTCAGAGGTGGGCTGTAACTCACCCTGGAGCTGTTGGAGGTTTAATATATCTGGGGACTTAATAAGCTTATAAATTTGCAAGTAAGGGAGGTTAGTGGTATTTGGAGATTGAGGGCCTACCAAGAAGCTGTCAGAAGAGGCACTAGGCTATGAGAATTGTAAAGTTCCAAACTTACCATTGAGCTGTCAGAGAAGACATCAGGGTGGTTTTCATAAATAAATTTCTCTACCCGCATCTGCCGCAGTTTGAACATCTTGGAGCCCCTATTAGTGAGCAGCGACAGCTCTTCCAACATCACATCCCTTGGGACACTGATCTTCTTGCCCAGATTCAGGCCTGAGCTCTCCCGTCCACCTTCCAGGGAAGTGGGGAGGAAGAGACAAGGAGAAGAGTAAAGTAGGGTTTTCTAGGCTCAGAATACAGACGCCATCCACAACTAAGTGTGTGACTCCTGCAGAGATCACAGTGGGAAGGAGATACTGTCTGTGACATCTGGTCAAATTGTACCTTTGTGAGAGATTTTTATTTCCTGGGTTTGGAGCTGGAGACGATGCATGGGAACTGGGGTGCAGAGTGGAAACAGTGGGGATACTAGAGTGGAGAGGGTGAATGAGGCAGAAGGGTCAGAGGCATGGGGTACAGGGCAAAAGGACTAAAGGAACATCATAGATGGAGACCATTGGGAAAATTATCGCATGGGGGCAAGTCCAAAGGCCAACACTGTGTGGAGTTGACCATATCTAAATACAGATTTGTCGAGGCGCCTGGGTGGCTCAGTCAGTTGGGCATCTGCCTTCAGCTCAGGTTGAGCCCTGCATTGGGCTCCCTGCTCAGCAGGGAGTCTACTTCTTCCCCTCCTTCCCGCTTGTGCTCTCTCACTATCTCTGTCTCTCTCAAATAAATAAATAAAACATTTTTTTTAAAGTAAATAAATACAGGGCGCCTGGGTGGCTCAGTTGGTTAAGCGACTGCCTTCAGCTCAGATCATCATCCTGGAGTCCCTGAATCGAGTCCCGCATCGGGCTCCCTGCTCAGCGGGGAGTCTGCTTCTCCCTCTAACCTTCCTCCCTCTCATGCTCTCTCTCTACCATTCTCTCTCTCTCTCAAATAAATAAATAAAATCTTAAAAAAAAAAAAATAAAAATAAAAATAAAATAAAAAAAAAATAAAAAAATAAAAAGTAAATACAGATTTGTCTTAACTCCTTTTCCTTCTCTTACTCTCAGTGAACTCTGGCTACAGACAGCCTCTAGGTATTGGGAGAGCTCTTCACATGCTTATACTCCTACTGCCCCCCAGGAAAAAATGCCTGAGTATTTTTCCATTTTAAGTGCTTACACAGGCTCTCTAGCTCTGGGGGGAAAAGCAAGGAAGTTAACCATTTATTGAGACTTTGCCGTGTGCCAGTCTCCATCATATATACTCTCTTCCTCAAATGTACCTCACTGACCTGTGAGTCCTGTTGTCCTGGACCTTCATTGGGTGATATGGCAAGGATATTATTGTCTCAGGTTACAAGGTGAAAAAGGGTGGAAGGGTGAGCGGTCGGTGTTGAATCCTTTCTCCATTTTTCTTCCTGCCCCCACCCCCCCGAATTTCTCTTGTCTCTTCACACCTCTTCACCTGAAGACATATATAACTTTATGATTTTTCTGGGATTCTTGGGCCTGAGATGCTCTTAACAAGAAGTCCCACACTAGGTAGGTGCAAACATGCCATACCTCCAGTGAGTTCCATGATCAGCTTGCTGGATTTCCTCTTCTTGTTGGGGGCTGGGGTTCCTGAGAGCGGCATCGTGGAGGCAGATTCAACCTAGATAGGGTGAGATGGGGGAGTTGGAGGATGGACAGGAACTGGGAAGGGGGAGTATCTACAGTAAGGCATTACTTCTTAACTTGGGGTTAAGGGTTTCAGGTTAAGGGCTTTCATGAGATTTTTAAATATATATATATATATATATATATATATATATCTCCAAAAAAGTAAAAACCAATTGCTTTAGGGCTTCTCTTTTCTTGGAGGCAGGACAGAAAGTATAGATGCACCCTCTGCTCCTACCGTCTACCAACCTCTTTTCTGCTGTTTAAATGGAGCTCGTACAGGGATTAGGAACATAGTATGTGTTGGGGGCAGTGGGTAAAACAAACAAATAACACACAGGGCACTGCACCCAGGTTTCATTGGCTTGGCATGACTTTAGATTTTTATTTTCATGGGGATCTCAGATTGGGGTTGTCATTCCAAACTCTGGTCTCTCCTCAGTCTTCCTCAAGCCCCAGTGGGGCAGAAAAATGTTCTGCCAGCATTGAGGAGATTCAGCCAAAAACATTCTCCATAGGAAGGAGAGGTTGTTGCTCCCCTATTGGGCCAGCTGGAGTGTGGCCTGGAGGTCACAGCAGTGTTCCTTGCTCCTTTTCAGGCATTCCTGCCCCAGACCCCAGAGCTAGAGTGGAGAGAAGAGCCGGGGGCATTTGAACCCTGACGCATGTCAATTCAGCAATATCATAGCAGTGGGGAATTGACAGGGGGCAGGAACATAATAATAGCATCTGGCAGTGGAGGGGGACAAGCTGGGAAAAGATACAGACTCCAGCCTCTCCTTCACAGAAGGTGGCACTCAGCAAAACACTGTCTTCTGCTGAGTCCTGTTTTACAACACATCTGCAATTCTACGAACTTAATGGGGTATGCTGAGGCCCGACTCCAGGAACTGCTAAATGGGCATTCACTATACCTCTCTCAGCCCTAACCAGCTAGGTTTTTTTTTTTTTTTTTCCCCATCCATCCTCTCAGACCCCCTTCTTACTATTCCAGTGCCTCCTCCAACATCTCCATTCCTCCCACCCTCCTGGGCCCCTCTCCTTCCAACTCTGTGGCTCCCCTGAACTAGACAGCTGGGAACAGAGCATAGATAAGGGAGGATCAAGGGTCACAATTGCAGACACAGACACAGCAGTCAACAGAATGGGCTCCAGCCCCTCTGGCCATAGAGCTGGAAACTTACCGGCTGCTCAGGCGGTGGTCAGCTCTCCCTGGGGTCCAGCAGCTTTGGAGGACTGAGCTGCTGTGACCGGAGAACCCGAGCTGGGCAGGCGTGGGGGCAGCACTGGCAGTGGGGGAGGGAGGGTAGTTATTAATAGAGATGATGAGTACAAGCAGCTCAAATGGCACTGGGGGTACTGAGACCCTGGAACCAAGATCCCGCCCTCCTTGCCCAGAGGCTCAGGAAGGGGAGGAATGACCTTTGGGATTCTCCCACTAAGCTGTCTGAGCCAAGGATCAGTCTGCCCAGGGAGTCCCCTTTCTTGGCATCTAGAGTCTGAGAACCAAAGAAGCATTCAGGGAGAAATTGAAAACTGAAAGGGAAAGAGGAAGCAAGCAGAAAATGGTGGGTAGGAATTCAGAGTGGGAGAGCAAGAACTTGGAGAACATGTCTGGAGAGCCACTCAAAACCATTCCAGGCTGGAGCTGGAGAGACATGTGGGTGCATTTTGGGTGTGGGAGGGCTGAAGGTGCTATGTTTGGGGAAAGGAAGTCTGTACACAATGGAGCTGCTCATCGACAGTTCCTTGATGGATGGGTCTTTCCTGAAAAGCCAGATCTTTGCAGGATAAGGAACCAAATTAACCAAATTGAGTGCTTCCTATGTTGTCAGGGATGATGTGGGGAAGACTTGACCAATTTTTGCCTTTTCATCCCCATTTGCTGTTGGGGTACTCAGTTTGGCCTGCTTTGCAGGATAGATGTTGATGTCTGAGAAGTACATGTATGCCAGGTCCATACATTCTGGGGTTCCCACTTGGGATTTTCTTCAAAGGGAGCACACATCCCATAGGATCTAGATTGTCCCATTCATACTCTTCCAGAGGATCCCCTGGGCAAGGGCACAAGTTTGAGAGCCTCCTTGAAGGAAGCCTGTCATTTACCCAGACCTTTCCTCAGTAGCTGCATGGACATCCTGGATCCTCTTCCACCTGCTCAGATTCTGGAATCAGCTGCAGCTGCACCTCTGTTGCTGTCACCACCATCCTTGTTGTGGCTGCTCTAGGAAGTGACTTTGCAGCTTCCGGAATGCCCCTGTCACTCTGAGCTCTCCACTCTTCCTGACCATGTCCTTTTCCCATCCTGAACTTTTCAGGCTCAGGCCAGGGACTGAAAGATCATCCAACCCCCCTCTAGCTGGCTTCTGCCCAAACCAGTTTAGCCTCCAGATCCCTCATCTTTTGTCTTCCTTCTCCATCCCCTCCCAACCCAAAGAAGCAATTAGAAGAAAAAATAAAAATGGCAAATGGTGATTTTGTCATCACCACCATCCTACTCTCAAAAACAAAACAAAAACAAACCGGAATTTTGGTCTCCTATGATTGAGTACCTAAAACTACTGAGTGGATGAAGACAATATTCAACCTATGCTCAATGGGTCCTTCCTTTGGAATTCTTTTTTTTTTTTTTTAAGATTTTATTTATTTATTTATTTGACACAGAGAGACAGCCAGAGAGGGAACACAAGCAGGGGGGCAGTGAGAGAGGGAAAAGCAGGCTTCGCAACGAGCAGGGAGCCCGATGCAGGCAGCGACGAGCAGGGAGCCCGATGCAGGCAGCGACGAGCAGGGAGCGACGAGCAGGGAGCGACGAGCAGGGAGCGA